ATTGGGGGTCTGCACAGACCATATAAAGTTTATATGGTCTGGTTTCTGAAACATAAGGCAGTTCAGCACTGTCAGGATTGAAATGTTGGCAGATTGGCTGGGCATCCCTGGCATCCACATCATGCCACATCTATTAGATACATGCATGTTGTGGAATGTGAAATAAAAGAAGGATAACTTTCAATCAGACTGACTGTGTCCAAACGCGGTCTGCAAAGTATTGAAAACTTCACAGCTGATTCATCAACTCATCAAAAAAGAATCATAATGTGCCAAATTTTCAGAAATTTTGGCAAGATTATTTTCCCATCAGTGCCCTTTTAACAACCATAATAAGGCTTCAAAACATTGACCTGATACCTGAGTGGACTTTTTGTCAAGTACAAGTGGACTTGCTGTCATTAGCACATAGTTGTGTTCAGATAAACTGCTGAATCACTGAGAAGATGCTAAAATTTGACCTTAAAGTCCCAATAGATTACAGGACTAAAACTCTATCTCTAGGACTACATTTTCTACCGATCAGAGTGGACTTCTCTATTTCTAATGCTGCATGAAGCCTGCCTAAACCCATGGACATAATATGTAAAGTGGCCTCTATACTCTATGTCAGGGGTGTCAAACTCAGATACACAGTGGGCCAAAATTAAAAACTGGGACAAAGTCGCGGGCCAGATTTCATATTTATTTAAAAAAATGATTTTTTTCCCCCTTCTTTCTAGATATAATAATGCACCTTTTCATATGGGAACAAACTTAAGTTTTACTTAAACACTGAATCTGGAACAAGCAAAGCTTAATACTATAAACACCTGAGAAATCAATTTCAAATAAAGGACACATCAGTGGCATTAATTTCTTAAATAAAAATATTATGCCTCTTTCTCCATCTGTAGCGTTTTCAGTTAATTTTCAATGGAATATTTTTTTCACAGGCTAACAACAACAAAAATAATAATAACAATGATGAGAATGCAACAAAATCTTTTCCCTTTTCCATCAGCTGTTCATGTAGATTGGTGGCAAGCTCACATGTACGATCAGCAACGGTGTTTCTGCTCAAGCTCACGTTGAAAAATGCTTGCCTTTTATCAGGGCACACAACGTCGCAAACTTTGATCATGCAGTTTTTGACAAACTCTCCCTCAGTAAAGGGTCGGGCTGACTCAGCGATCTCTGCTGCAACAATAAAGCTCGCCTTTACAGCAGCTTCACTTTGGGATGTGGCCTTTGTGAACATAGTCTGTCGTGAAACCAAACTTCTTTCTATCTCCTCTACCTTCTGGCGCTTCTGCTTTATGTCCAGGTCTTTGTACTTGTCGTGGTGTTTCGTTTCATAGTGTCGTCTTATGTTATATTCTTTTGTAACAGCCACGTTGGCTCCGCACACAAGACAAACAGGTCTGTCCTTTACAGTCGTGAACAGATATTCTGTGTCCCACCTGTCTAGAAACCTCCTGTTCTCCACCTTCCATTTGGCCATTTTTTGGGAGGGGTGTCTGACATCTGCCCGAGGTGACTGGTAGCATGACATTGCGAATGAATGAAAACAGAGGAGGGGATGCTTGCGGGTCTTGACGCGCCAAGGCACTAGCAGAGCATTCTGGGATTTGTAGTATTAGCATTGCATGCGTTACCCGGCGGGCCAGCTCAAATTGAAATTTGATATTATCTCGCGGGCCAAATATAATTACACCACGGGCCAGATTTGGCCGTCGGGCCAGAGTTTGACGCCCCTGCTATAGAGTATTTACATGCTGGAATTAATTGACTGTTCCTCTGTCTCTCTGCAGGTATCTGGTACAACCTGTTGAGAGGCCTCAGCAAGGTAGCAGTCATTGTTAATGTAAGTGTGGTATCTTTACAGTCACTGTACAGTTGTTGTTCCAAAACATGCCAGGGCTGGTCTGAAAAATGCTTTAACATAGTGACAGGGTGCCTGGTGGCTCTCTCACATTTTATAATTCACAATGAAAATAAATTGATTAACACTGGAAATGTTTGTTTGTTGATACCAAATAGTAAATGTTCAATAATGTCCATTGCCTGTTACTTGGGAAGTTGAAATAGTCATCAGTGATCTATGCAGTGCACAGAAGTGGTGACCCTTTATTTCTGCAAAGAGTTCACGTACACCTGACCTGGGTGGGGACTGCTGCAACTAGATTCGCCTCTTGGCCAAGATGATTGGGGACAGCAAATGTCGAAAAGTTGACAATGAAAACACACCACACCTAAACACTGTGTTTATTTGCCAAATGACAACTGCTGTGTTCAAGGCAGCTAATATCAGCCGACATCTTGAGTCAAAACATGTTAGCTTCAGTGCAGAGTTCTCGCCTGGCAGCACAGCAAGAAAAGAGATTTGTCATATTTGATTTAAAAAATCTTGTTATTTTTGTTAAATGTTTTGGGTGCTTGTAGTAATTATAGTGTTTCTGTGGTTGAAGACCTGGAAATTAGATAATATCTCTAGGGACTACTCCTAATACAGAATTTCCACAAAATCAAAATAAATCAAAATGTTAAGTCAGTGTCACATGAGACAGATAATCTGTGAAAAAAAATCAGGTTCCTCTGGCTCCTCCTAGTGCTCCTAATGGTAATGGCAAGAATCCACCGGGCCTGAACGAAATCAACCAATCAGAACCAAGAAATATAGTTGATTGTTAAGTCTCATTCCCAGGTCATCAAATACCAACGCTTCAACAATCATCAATTTTTCTCAGACATCTTTATCAAAGTTACCTATTGCAGCTTTAAGGAGAATCCAGAAATCAGGAAGGAGTTGTGGTTTAACCTGGCTATTTGATTTCATAAAGACAGTTCTCTGTTCCCTCAGGCCTTTGTCATTTCCTTCACCTCTGACTTCATCCCACGCCTGGTCTACCAGTACATGTACAGCCCCGACGGCACCATGCATGGCTTTGTCAATCACACTCTGTCTTATTTCAACGTCACTGACTTCCAGAAAGGCACACACCCTCTCCAGCCGATGCACCTAGGCTACAAGGTAGAAACATGCAGGTAAGGCCAGGTGCACTTGATCTTGGAATTAAATCTGCTGCTGTCTTTCTGATGCCAAAACCTCCCAAATAACTATCATCTCTCAGAGAACAGTACTGCATGTATGCTTTAACATAAGTGCAAATACTATCATACAGTGCTCATCTGTATTTTGTGTGTTGAATAGTAAAGCATCCAATCTAAATATGTTTTTAAATCATGTGTGAGACTCTTTGTCTTTCTCCATCCAGATATAAGGACTACAGGGAGCCTCCATGGTCCAGCACACCGTATGAACTCTCTAAGGAGTTCTGGGCCGTTCTGGCCGCACGTCTTGCCTTTGTCATTGTCTTTCAGGTTTGGAACAACACTCACAACAACACAAATATTAATATCAATACTGAATGTCGCTCACTTGCATCATTCATATTTTATGTAGGCAAAGTAAACAAACATGGCCTCTGAGTGAAATATGCTGTAAAATATAATGTATTTTAAAATATATTGTACTGTATATTTGAGCCTTTTGGATTCAGAGCTCCTGTGGAGGGGAACATGTACCTGATTGTGTAAATAATTAATTTGATTTATTTATATCTTATATGTATTTATTTATAATTAAATACTAAAATGTCTTAAAAGTAAAAGTAAAAATCATATGTTAAAGAATATACTATACTAATATAACGGTTTGACTTTGTAGGTCAAAATTATGATTTTATCTCATAATTATGAAAGATTTCCATTTAATAATATAATAATCAAATAATTTTATTGTATTATGCAATACTAAATAATGAACACAAAAACCTGAAAACAAGTGTAACATTGAAAAGCTATGTAACTCCAGGCCAATAGTGAGAATATTGTAACTTTTATGTGTGTTTAAAAACTGCTAGAAAAACGTGACATGTGGCGCAGAACTGGCGTGCTTGCATCACAGGAAAACAATGGTTTGGTCATTCAAAGCAATATGTCTCTATATGATTGGCCCATTACACTATTTCAGCATTTCACAGCTTATATACACAAACACTTTATATAGGCTTTAATGTTACAAGGCCAGAAAATCTGTGGTTGTATGCACAGGTATGCGGACATACCATGGCTCTACAAAATAGAGAAATGAATAATAGCGATTCAGTATGCTGACAGAGTGGGACTAGAAAAACATTTATTTTATGTATATTTTCTGCTCTGAAGTTAATGATATTGTGCAGCCACGCTTTAATGGTGATGGCAAGAATAGCAGTATCTGTATTAAAGTGAATTAGTGATGAATCACCCTCATGCACAAACACATACACCATAGAAATAGGTGGCAAAAGAAGAATATTGTCAATATTTTAGAGACCCCCTTTCACAAACATTTTCAGAAGAGCTCATGTTTGTAGTTTGCACTCTGATTGTATGCTTCAGTGAAATGTTTGTATCTGAGGTGTGTTCCTCTGTTACCTCTGTCCTGTGCAGAATGTGGTGATGCTGATGAGTGACTTTGTGGACTGGCTGATCCCAGACATCCCCAAGGACATCAGCCTGCAGATGCACAAGGAGAAGATCCTGATGGTGGAGCTCTTTATGAAGGAGGAGCAGGGCAAAAGGCTTGCAGCACGGGACAACCAAAACCGGGACAACTACACCTCCCTGTCGTCAGCCAATCAGAGTCCACCACAGCCCCGCTCACGACCCGTCTCGCACGCAAACTGCAGTTAGACTGCTAGCTGCCGGTGTCTGAGAAAACAAGCAAGAACAGCAACAAGCAAACACTACACCTGTATACAAACTGTAAATAAGTTAATCAGCTGCTTAAAGCTAGTTGGTAAACATAATACACATAATCTGTTTTAATAATCAGCAAAGCTTTTGCTGCGTTATATATTTGCAGCAATAACATGAGAGTTCAAACCTTAGCTCTGATGCGTTCACATTAGAATTCCTTTACATTCGAAACTCGCTGTTTGCCGCTTTCTCACACTTTCCCAATGTTAAGATGTTACTTTTACAGCAAGCCAGACATTGCGTGGTCACCCATTAACCAAATCCAACAGTAGTTAGATGATCCCAAAACATTATATATTGGATGTATTTGAAAGGAACAAGCCATTAGCTTTATTTGACTCTGGGAAACTTTGTTGTTGAGATGAGATCATCATACAGGACTCCTGAGAAAGCAGTGCCAAACCTAATGTGAATCACATTTCCAAGCCGTAAGCTCATATCTGTCACCTCTCTCACGGTGCTTGAATGCAGTTTTTGTATAAAACACAGCCTCCGTCAATCCGTCCATGTCGTCCTGCTGAGAAGACTGCCCTCCTGGTATCTGAGATACAAAACACAAGAAGATCCTCCCTCCTGCCATCAGTGTGTAAAGCTCTGATAGGCCTTTTTTTTTTTTTTGCACAATTATATTTAAATGCAGCAATTTATTCATGTACTTTTTTGAATATGCAGCATGGTCAGGGACACGTACTTTGATTGTTTGGGTGAACAGCAAGGTTTTTGGAAGACCTTCTGTGTCAAGTGGCCTGTTGATTTTTACTATTCTCTTGTATAAGTATAATATTTATAATATAAAGTGCTGCAGGGATAATTTTTGTAGTCCAACTCAGAAGTTAGCACCCGGTTCCTTTAACAATAGAATAAGCTCTGTAGCGAGTAAAGATTTATGATATATATTTATTTATTTTTAAGCATAAATGCGATCGCCAGAGGTAAAAAGCCACGACCACTAAAGTTCCGACTTGTTATTAAATCTTGCAATAACAATGTGGGTGGGAAGTTTGAGTTTGCAAGAGCACAAGTTTTTACACAAGTCTGTAAAGGTGGACTAGTAAGTCTCATTTAGCCCCTTTTTAGCATCTGCCTTTTTTAAGACATTTAAAAGCATACTTTATGCTGTAAAAGAAAGCATGACATCTCCTAACCACAAACCTTATTTCAGACATTTAACCAAAAACCCATTGACTTTGAAATGAGGGAACCAGTGAAGTGAACATTCCTTCTGCACTCTATTGCTCGTGTTACATAATTTGTTACATTCTGAGTATGAATAATCAGAACTCAGTGCCATTATTCCTGGAAGCACAAGCCACATCTTTATTAATTTCAATCAACTGGAATTCTTTAAGAAGAAGATTTACAGAGTAAACAGAATTATGTCATGCTCCATTACACCTCACTGATCTGGAAACACAGCACGGATCCATTGTCACCATATGGAGTCATTATGGTAAACTTGTTAGCAAGCAGTTGTGTATACATCCAACACAGAGAAACCTTAGCATTCATTATGTTTTCAAGGTTAATTGCTAACTTTATCTCTCTGCTGTTTGGTGCTGAGCTGAAAATGTACAGTTGGTTTTATCTGAGAAAACATCTGCCAGCTGCAAGACACCAAAATGCTTTGTAGAGCTGAGGGCATCTGCAAAGATGTTGATAATTCTCTGTTGGTTCATTGAGCAACAACTTTTACCTTACACAAAATGATGTGACCCATAGTTAAAATACCCCTCCAGCCTTTAAAAAGAAAACTTTAGAGTGTGGAAATTAAACTTTTTTTGCAGAAAACGACCATAAATACACCAGCGTTGCTTCCGAAGCCAGCGCCACCTCCTTGCGATCTGTGACTTTGGTAACTATCACCTCAGCGTATCCTCGACCGCGCCTGCTCATAATCCAGCGGAAGACTGCTACAATGCACAACTGCATACAACTGTCTGCCTCTGGTGGATCCTGCTGGACGAGTATGCCACTAATTCCCAACGTTCCAAATCAATTTTATCCCTCTGTGACTCGACCCCGCGCCCCCCAAAAATTCCATCCAACAGCAGTTATCTCAGGGGACACTTTATTTCCAAAAAACACTAGAGGAAGCGTCTACGACCGAACTCCTCTATAACCCATCCACTTACAACACCGACCCAACAGTACCACCATCAGACACACGCACTTGGCGACGGGGGCAAGGAAAACTGCCCTTCTTAACAGGCACGAACAACCTCCGACGACTGGACCCACACCTATTCGGCTCTCACACAGCGTGGCGATCGGTCATACCATGCTTGCGACCCAGTTTGCCCGAAGAGACGCACAGAGAGACACGACAGAGAGAGAGACCGAGAGAGAGAGAGACGACCAAACAGCATGTAGCACGCAACAAAGAAGCAACAACTACATTCCAACAGCAGTAGAAACTGATGCGACTAGACCGACCATCACGAAAAGCACGGTGCACCGACGACAGACACCCAGCCAAGCAGGGACAGCGACGCCCGCCGACAACAGCACCCCGACGCAGCACACACAATACTCAACAACAACTAATAGTCAGCACTACACCAATCAATACCTCAGTGATCATATAGCACACTGCGCAGTCTACGCACCCCCCGGCCGCACCCGACCATGGCAGGAGGCTCCACCAGGCTACATCCCATCGCGCAGAGCCCTGCATAACTACTACTACCCTGGCAGATGCTTGCTTACACCGCTAACACGTTCACCATATCAACTGAAAAGGTGTCAGTGTTGTGTTTTCATTTTGGGTCTGCGGGCCCCCCCAGTGGCCACAAAATCAATCAACAAACTTGGGGCATGGTGGAGTTTACTGAGACACCTTACAGAGTTGGTTCAGACCAAATTCCTGTAACTACTGACAGAATTCTTCACCATTCACCTTTAAACCAACAATGGGAAATTTTGGCTCATGCTGCTTCAAGTAAATTCTTTTTGTTTCTCTGATTAAATCCATTCACACCTTTACATATCGTTAAGTTGCCCAGCTTTATTTATTAGGTTTTGCTGAGTGAACTCATTTTCCCCATGCTGCAGCAGCTCATAATACTTTGGTAATACAACCTAGCTAGGCAGCATAGAGATTAGCAACTGTAAATGATAAAAAAAAAATGTCAGTTTCAAATGTATGTTTATTCGTCATACAGATTTACAGGTTGTACTTGTGTTTAAAGTTGGATGTAGTGGTATGAGTACGTAACAAACAAATGGAATTTAGGAATCTTCAATCGTGTGACATTTTTTTTCTAAAGTAGGAATTTTCCATGTCTCTGGAAAGCAGTGCCAGTGTCTTGCTCTTACCCTGTCTTATATTGTCCCAGCTGGTCCAGTGATTCTTCTCTAAACTATCACATTTGAGATTTCCAGTCAGCATAGGAAGGGATACAGTGTTATACCAGGAAAGGCTGCACTGTTTTAATATTATTATCTTGCCTTATACTAACTGTATAAATCATTTAAGCTGCAACTTTTTAACTCTTAAAGCACAAAGACTGAATAATATTTTGTTTTGTATCTATCAAACTGCAAAAATATATGTGGGAGTGACTGGATATTACTTTGAAAAACGTAAATGTACTGTAGACTGAAATGTCAAGTCACAAATGTCACAAAAAACAGTACAGTCTACATTCGTCGATGTGTCAGGTCCTGCACCCTGCTGTAAATATATTGAACTGCCCCAAATCCAAGCCCTCAACCCAGACTGATAGAATGTATTATTACATTTTTAATTTTCAGTGATTTGTAATCACTTTTAGTGACTTTATTGACTCACTTTTTCATTTGTTTTTATGACAATGAATCAACTAGACACTTTCACAATGACAGAGATATACTTCATCTTAATGTCCTAATTTAATTAATTGTTTAATGTACTAGAAACAATAAACATGAACCTATTTTGCTGTATCTTGTATCCTGGGAAAACATTCCAATACAGCCTACAAAAACATTTGATCATAAAAGACGTTCCTGGGATATGACGTTGCATATTTTATTTTTTGCAAATCTTAATACTATGTATGTAAGTAGGGTTAGCGTTGATATTAGTGATAGTTAATGTGCTGCCACTAGGCTGCAGAGCCTGTTTTAGCTAGAATATTTGTTTTCTTTTTATAACCAGATGTCACATGTGAAGATTCTCCATCTATGTCCCTCATGAGATGTCCTCGTCCTGACTTTGCTATGTTGTATTTATAGCATCAATACAACACTACAAGTTGTGACATGCCAATATCTATTATAATGTATGTCAATGCACATAACACAACGTGTGAGTGTATATGCATGTATGACCGATTTGTCTGTCTGTAATATTTGGAGTCTTTTTTTTGTTTAATTTAACTGCAAATAAATGAGAGATGAACTGCCTGACTGTGTATGGAAAATCCCTGCATTTCACTTCATTTTGATATGTTATTAATTTCATATTTTGCCACTTAAGAACAGAAGCATATTGCATTTACTTGAGAAAAAAAAATCTCAGTTTTTCAGAATAAAAGACTTATTATCTCATAATTCTGAGATAATTCTTCATAATAAGAAAAACGTATGCTTTGTGGTTAAATCATGCCACCTGCTGGACACCCCATGTACCCAAAACTGCATGGGATAAGCAAGTGGGTATGTCTGCAGGGGAGACTGGTGAGTATCCATGGAACCCATTTTCATTCTGATATCTTGAGGTCAAGGGATCCCTTTGAAAATGGCTATGCCAGTTTTTTCATCACCAAAATTCAGCCAGACTTTGGAGCGTCATTTAGCCCCTTTCTCAACATGCTAGCATGGCATTGTTGGTACCAATGGATACATTATGTTGTCTAGTTTATGATATTATGATTCACTCTAGCTTTAAAACAGAGCCTGCTACAGCCTCTGAAAGATGGGAAGGATAATGGTGTGGCACTTGGGGTTGCCAATCAGATTTCAGGGCTGGCCAGTGTCACCCCAGGCCCCCCTTCTGGACACACCCCTGATTTAAATGGAGAAAAATAACCATTACATTTTTCTGGATACAGGTCCTTTTTGTCCATACTCCTGCAATGACCCTGTAGGTGACCTCTGACCACAATTCTGGAATTTCATTACCAACATTGTTTAACAGTGCCTTCTAGGAAGTGAGGTCATTAAAAAAAAAAATAACTCAAATAAAAAAAAATGATAATAAATATCTTTAGTAAGTCTAAGATTTTACAACTACAACTAATAATGAAACTAAAACAAAATTCTGAAGTCATTAGAATAAGAAAGTTTCTCAAAATATTGACTTTGTAGTATCACAAAGATATCATTTTGAGAGACTATGTCAAAATATTGCGGTATTAAGTTTCTCATTATTTTGAGATACTAAGTAATTACATTTTTTAAATAATTAAAAAGTCCTGGATCAGGATCTGATCACCACAGAGAGAGAGAGAGAGAGCAGATAAACAAACGGAAGTGAAAGTAAAAAGTGAAGTATTTCCTAGTTCAGACAGATCTGTCAGCGGGGTGCAGTCTGTATCAGAGACATGAGCTCCTTCCAGTTTAACGCTCTTTTGCTGGAGATTTCGAACCAGCTGTCCTCTGAACAGCTGGATAAGCTCAAGTTTCTGTGTCGAGACCTGGTCGGGAAGAGAGACCTGGAGAAGACCGACACCGGGCGGAGACTGTTCCAGATCCTGACGGAGAGAGGCCGCCTGGCTCCCGACAACACGGAGTATTTGTGCCGGCTTCTTACTGAAATTCACCGGGAGGACATCGCAGAGAAATTAAGCCGTTTTGAATGTCCGCCTGGATGCCCCGAAGTCCTGGACAAGGCGGAGACAGGTACGCACCGTGTGGGGCCTCAGGGGCGGTGTTCAGACCGCAGCCGGCCGTTTCAAGGAAGTCTACAATCAGGATTCTGGTGTCAGTTTGCAGTTGAACTATATTGTGACTGGTGTTGTGTTGTGAGTCTGTACTCATTGATATAAGTGGGGTGGAGAAAATAATAGAAACACCTGTCAGTAGAACACAATTACAGCCATGCTGATAGAAAGGGATAGCGGTCCAAATATTTCTGATATGCAGGGGCAGATCTAGAGAAATATTCATGGGGTGTCCACAGGGTGACATGGAGACTTTAAGGGCTGTCAGAAATATATGCTGATTTAATCACAAACAATTACAATGATATGATATTTGGACTTAAAAACTTCATACACAAACCAATACATTGTTTTATTTCTGAATCTTCAGACATTTGTCCAAATACATAATATATAGACTTAGTATTTATATTGTAGAATAAATTGCACATAAAACCACAGTCCCTCCACAGGCATTCATATGGCAAAACTGTATCTTTTGATGACTTGTATTTATACAGTAAATTATGGATTAAAACTGAACAGTCCTAATATCATTTTACCATAATAGTAATATAAATAGAAAAAGTTAAATAAAAAGTTCTACCATATTTATTACAATAAACTTCTGGCAACCACAGCTGCCAATGTACCATAAAAAAAATAAAAAATCTATTTATTTTTTTTACAGTGTGAAAAAAAAAAAACCCTTTTGTATTTTAGAGGTAGCATAGCCACCCTTGCAGATCCACCTCTGCCAATATGGCCGCCAATATAGTGTATAATTGAGCTGGAATTAAAATAGACCTTTTCTATGAGGGTTGTGGGTAATTAAAGAATATTTCAGTTTAATATTATTTAAATAATGTTAAATAATTTACAAGCAGATATAGTTGACATTGCTGAGAGCTGCTTCTCCTCTGTGCTGTTTGCAACAGTATTTTAAATCATAGCGCACTGCTGGATATGCTTTTTTCTGCATTGTATACTGGAAAAAAAGTTTTCATGTCATATATGATAACATATACACCAATGCGGGGTAGACACAGTTCAGTGCAACTTCAATGCCATCTTACTGTTATTGCATAATGACAAAATTAATTTAGTGATTCTAAACATTTTAAATTAAGCATTTTAGTGTTTTTCTTAATAAATCAGACATTGATGGTGCAGAGCTGTATTGTACGTCATTATATCATCTTTTGTTTTCTACTAAAAATGTTTTGCACTGGTACCTAATTAAAAAAATATTTCAAAG